GAGAGAAGAGGATCTCTCCTGGGGTGTGGGGAAGGAGATCCTCTTCTCTCACTCCGGCCTCACTTTTAAGAAGTTAAATCATGCCATTTCAGTGAATTGCAGAAGGAAAACAGGAGAGACCATCTGCTTGCTAATTCCTGCAAATGCCTTTCTAGGTCAAAAAGGCATTGAATTTAGACTAGGTAGTTCTCACCCAATATCAGAAGCAGGAAGAGAGAAGATGAACAGCTAAACTGCAGTTGGACTACACAGTCATAGACACCATCTCAACTCTTTTGACACGCACACCTATGGATCCCCTGAATTTAAACTGATTAATTGATTATGTGCATCAAGTCGGTGTTGACTCTTAGCAACCACAAAGATTTTCTCCATGACGATCCTGATAAAAATACTGAAGTTAATTAACACCCACACTTCCAAAGACGCTCCAGAGTCTACAGGATACCATTACTTGGCAGAGCAGAAGTCATCACCCAGCAGGAAATCATCCTGTGATTGATGGTTTTGTCAGGTAACTAGAGCCAAAATTTGGCCACCTCTTAAAAACTTGTTCTTAGCTTTGCACCTTGTTTTGCCTATGTAATCCTGAACACCTTTAAAAAAAATGCACAACCTCCCTTCCTCTAAATGACTTATATACACATACACACCAGTGCAGTATTTCTCAGCCTTGGCAACTTGAAGAGGGGTGGACTTCAACTCCCAGAATTCTGAGCCACTTCTGAATCTTATCTTGCTGTCCAGAACTTTTGTCTAGGGAACAGTTCTTGCATACGTCCATCAAGGCCATCCTCCTGATCCTCTACAACAGCACTCCCATTTTTTTCCTTGTGGGGTATGTTGGGCTGAGAGAGAGTGAGTAGCCCAAGATCCCCCAAGGGGCTTCCATGGCTGAGGGTGGACTAGACCCTGGGTCTCCACACTCCTAGTCCACCACCTTCATAACTGGATCATACTGGCTCTTGGTAGCTTCTGGTAGCTGAGCGGGGACTAGAATCTGGATCTCCCTGCACCTACTCCAGGACTTTCCTCACTAGACCAGACTGTTTCTTGGGCTGAGCGGGAGGGATTGACCCAGGGTTCCCCAAGGAGCTTCTCTGGCTGAGGGTGGACTAGACCCTGGGTCTCCACACTCCTAGTCCAGCACCTTCACTGCACCACACCGGCTTTAATAGGATTCAACATACTGAATTAACCCAAGCAGTGAGGGGAACAGGGAAAGCATTAGGAAGAGACTCAGACTGCCCTGACTTCCATAGGAAGCGTCGATTTAATGTGAGTCTCATCAAACCAAGGATTTTAGAGTGAATGTGTGTATGAATTGCTGGGTGAGGCTCTGGAAAGAAGCAATGCAGCCACTGGAGGAGGAGGAGAAGGAGGAGGATCTTACACTTTATAACAGTTTCAAAGGGGTGTTTTGTAAGAACAGTCATCAAACCAAACCCCCTTTCCAAACTTCACGCAATCTCTACAAGTAGAATGAAAAAATAAATGAATATGTTATTACTGTGCACTTCTTGTTCCTTTGACAGGAACAAGAGCAATTTCTTTCTAGAAGAAATCTCACAGCAAATTGAAGCTGATATTCCGGGTCCCAAGCATAAAATCATATGCTAAGACATAGATAGAGATATGGGGCTGTGTGTGCTTAGTAGAAGTAGGGTTTGTTTAATGTACCTTTCTTGATCTGTTTTATGGATTTAAGTAGGAAAAACAATTGTTGTAGAAGGAGGACTTAAATTTTAACTACTGTGTAGTTGTATTTGCGTAACATGTTAAGATTAAAGCTAAAATGGGATTGTGGATGGGTAGGAAACTATTTTCTTTGCATGATGTGTGAACTAAACCACCACACCAAAGCAGGGCATGCTTTGTTGGGTGAACCCAGCTGCTGAGTTTAATATGTTGAATGAGGGGACCAAGGCCACCATTCATTTTGCATAACCCCGCTGCCGATATATGCTCTAGGGCAGTGTTGTCCAAACTTGGCCTCTTTAAGATGAGTGGACTTCAACTCCCAGAATTCCC